TTGATTCAAGGAATGCTTTCACGTCTTCGATATGATTTCTATACGCGGACTCAAGACCTTCGGCCGGATATGACATTACAATTAGACGACTCGTCAAAAAAGACATATCCAAGTCTTGGCGAGCAATGGAACTAAATATATAAACAATGTTTAATAAAATCCAAAACAATATCATTATAGAAACGCATACTTCTGAACGGTTTGCATCACTTTATTAGACGTATCTTTGATATAACGAGTAAATCCAGAAAAGCTGAATGAAGGCTGAGCTGAACCGGGTATTTGGGGCAAAGGGGCGTTGGGAACTCCACTGGGAATCACTGGGTTTGTCGGTTGTGTAGGTGTGGTCTGACGGGGATTAACGCACGGAGCGTTCAGATCAACACAATTCTCCTCTAATAAACCTATTATGTCTGTTGCGGGCATTCGTTCGTTGGGATCCACTTTTATACACGATCTAAAAACAATAAATATTTTACTAACATTTTTCTTCTAAACATTATATCATTTAATACTTAATGATGCGAACGATTAAATCGGAATCAGAAGAGTTGTTAGGAATAGTATAATTGCAATTAATTATCCGTAGTTTTGCCGAGTCTTCGAACGGATGTCTCCCAAACTTAAGACAATATAGAAGGCAACCGAAGGCCCAGATGTCGATCGCCGTATTGATTGGCAAATGGAGATAAGTGTCTAATATTTCGGGCGGTCTATACATTGGAGTCGTGTGTCGACACATCTGTTACACAATAATACAACAATTATAACACTAAACAAAGTATGCATTTAAATCAACACAAACCTCATCCTCAAGAAGTGACCTCTGGATTGGCGTCCAATTCAGGTCCGGAAGGTATGAGTCAGAAGTGGCGGAACCGAAATCGCATAACTTAACGATTCCGTTGTTATCAAACAAAATATTTTCAATCTTTAAGTCGCGATGAGTTATGCCTATGGAATGCATCCTTTCGATGGCCAGACATGTCTGGTATACAATTCGGTTCAACTGCTGTTGATTAGCAACCGGTAACTTAATGTCTTGTAATGAACCGCATCCGCAGTATTCACTGAAACCATTATTTAAATGTTTTAATTTACAAATTGTGTGACAATTATAACACAATTACCACAAAAGAAGATAAATATTTTGATTGATTTTTCCCCACGAAATAAATTCCATAATATGTTTGTGCGGCTGAAGACGTGTCAACACTTGGATCTCGCTTTCGATCTCCTTTTTAGATTCATTGTCCGAAGCGATCAATCGTTTCAACGCATAAACAGTCGATGTCTTCACATCTCTGACACGAAACACGAATCCAAAACCACCTGAAAATACAAGACATCACTAAATTAATCCAATAGTGAAATGGATCTATGGATACAAACCTTCGGCGATCACTCTTTCGACTCTCAATTTGTTTGCCTTCAGATCAATGGTTTGTCCGACGAATGGGTTATCCGAATGAACGGAATCGTTGTTGTGATCACTGGACCACACATTGGAACTGATGTTATTAAAAGCTGATCTCAAGATATCACTCATTGTTTACGACAACAACATATGGTTTTCGACGAAAAGACAATTGAATGCAAGACTTGTGAACAAAACGATAACCAAAACAAATGGTCGTAAAAACAATAATTAAAATCGTAAACAAACGACTCTTCCGATTGACACCAATGACTGGGTGGGTGTCTCTCAAGACATGTCTTCAGCTGATCCTCATTGGTATGGCATATGAGAGGCCATAACTAAACACTACAACTCATACACCACTCACTCTAATGGCTATTGTTTTGGTTGAAGTGATAATCGCGGAGACAATCGGGTTATAAGTTTGGGTCCAAAAGTAATGACTGACTTAAATGTGTGATCAATTGAGACGATGTGTTGAGTCTATGAGTGAATCAAATCATAACATCTGACAGAAGTGTACACCAAATGAGGTGTTGAGCGCCACCTCTATTGGGTCCAAAAGTAATGACTGACTTAAATGTGTGATCAATTGAGACGATGTGTTGAGTCTATGAGTGAATCAAATCATAACATCTGACAGAAGTGTACACCAAATGAGGTGTTGAGCGCCACCTCTGGGCCACACCTGGGCTGTAGTGGACGTACTCTATGGACAGGAATGCGTGAAAACACTAGTTTTGAAGCAAAGAAGTGCTGATTCACTGAATTGTCAAATCAATTGTCGCTAACTTTCGCTTCAATTCATCACAACTGCTGAAGACTTTTTGCATTAATCACAAGAAATGGTAAACATTAGTGATTATTGATGTGTCCACTCATATATGTATTAATGGTATTGTCTTTTCCAATGAAAGGCCCGGCGCTATGACTCGCGAACCACAATCTTCTCACCCGAAGGTAAACATTGTATACGAGAGCTCTTAACTGCTGTACCACTGATTGACATTCAATGATAATCACCCGACAGGACGTCTCTATCAGGTGGAGTACGCAATGGAGGCCATCGGACACGCGGGCACTTGTCTCGGCATTCTGTCCAACGATGGCATCGTTTTGGCCGCTGAGAAGCGAAACACTAACAAACTCTTGGATGAGGTCTTCAACTCAGAGAAGATTTACAAATTACATTGGGTCCAAAAGTAATGACTGACTTAAATGTGTGATCAATTGAGACGATGTGTTGAGTCTATGAGTGAATCAAATCATAACATCTGACAGAAGTGTACACCAAATGAGGTGTTGAGCGCCACCTCTCGGGCCACACATGCGCTGCAGAGGACGTACTCTATGGACAGGAATGCGTGAAAACACTAGTTTTGAAGCAAAGAAGTGCTGATTCACTGAATTGTCAAATCAATTGTCGCTAACTTTCACTTCAATTCATCACAACTGCTGAAGACTTTTTGCATTAATCACAAGAAATGGTAAACACTAGTGATTATTGATGTGTCCACTGATATATGTATTAATGGTATTGTCTTTTCCAATGAAAGGCCCGGCGCTATGACTCGCGAACCACTATCTTCTCACCCGAAGGTAAACATTGTATACGAGAGCTCTTAACTGCTGTACCACTGATTGACATTCAATGATAGGACGTCTCTATCAGGTGGAGTACGCAATGGAAGCCATCGGACACGCGGGCACTTGTCTCGGCATTCTGTCCAACGATGGCATCGTTTTGGCCGCTGAGAAGCGAAACACTAACAAACTCTTGGATGAGGTCTTCAACTCAGAGAAGATTTACAAATTACACGAGTATTAAGACATTAGTGATCGAGTATTGAGAGAAATGGTTGTAATGGATGTGTTGTGTTTGTATAGAGACATGGCGTGCAGTGTGGCCGGCATTACATCCGACGCCAATGTGTTGACCAATGAGTTGAGACAAATCGCTCAAAGATATATTCTTCAGTACGGAGAGAGCATTCCGTGCGAACGACTGGTCAGTTGGTTGTGTGACATAAAGCAGGCGTACACTCAATACGGAGGCAAACGACCGTTCGGTGTGTCCATCCTTTACATGGGTTGGGATAAACACTA